TTCCTCAACTCAGTATTCAGTATAATTGATTGTTCTCTTTCTTTCTCTTTTTAAATACTTTATTCTTGAGACTTCTATTACACTATGCTCCCTAGTCTTTTTTTTCTATCTTACTGCTTTTCAATTTCTTTTTCTCATTTTAACTTCTCTACCAGACCTTGGAGTGTCCCAAGTGTTTTGTCTTCTACCTCCTGCCTCTTGTGCCTCCCTCTCCTCTCCCTTTTCCATTCTTTCTGCCCTCTAAACCCAACTCCTCTTCACTCCTTTCCTCCCTCCATGAAGTTTTTAAGGGCTGCTTTATACATTGATTTCAGTTTTTTTTTTGTTTGTTTGCAACCAAAGAAGCCTGTTTTTTAATTTCATTTTTCCACATACTTTTTGAAGTATGTTTTTATGTCCAAATGGCTGATCACTATCCACCTGGCTATTTAGTAGGAATCTCAAATGTAACATAACCAAAACAAAAACTACTATCCCCTAAATCTGTTTCTTTCCAGATTCCAATCTCAGTAGTTAGTGCCACAAACAACTGATGCTCAGGCCCAAATCCTTTCCCTGGGCTTAGGAATCCTATTTGATTCCTTCTCACATGATTCATACCTGATGTACGTAATGTAAATAACCTGATAATTCATACCTAATGTAGTAGGGCACTCCCCAGAGCCTACCTCTGAAGTGGAACCCCAGTTCCCTTCACTCTTGCATTGCTCTGATCTCAGTCCATGTTTCCATGGTTTTTGCTTGACTCACTTGTAGACCAATGTATCACCTTCCAGCTGATTTTCTTGTCTTTTTTCTCCCCCACTGCATTTACATTTGCCTCATTTTCAGGACTCTTCATGGCACTACCAGAATGGCATTCTTAAATAGAAAGGAGCTCGTGCTTGAAATACAGAGCTGACTTCCTGTTCCACTTGGAGTGAAATCCAAAGCTTTTTAGTTTGCGTGCATCACCTGGCTCTTGCCCATCTCCCTGACTTTCTCTCCCTGCTCTGCTGATGCCCACCCATGCTAGGCATGATTCCTGGCTTTTTGGGGTCCTCCTCTTACTAGAATGCTCTTCCTTCTGATCTTGGCATTGCAGATTTCTTCCTGTTGTTTGAGTCTCAAATCAGATTTTCACTTGAAAGCAAGGTTTGTTTTAATTGGCAGTCCTCCAGTTATTCTTGGTCCATTGCCTTTTTTTTTTTTTAATCATCTTCATGTCTTTGATTGGTGCTGCTTGCTTGCTTCCTCACTTTTTTTAAAAGCAGATTTATTTTTAACTTTTAAGTCAGACGATGTCTTCAAGACTTCAGACTCCTTGAGGGTAGAGACTCATTTCACAGCCGTATGTCCTATGCCTGGAATATAGCTGGGCATGTAGTCAATCCTCATCGTGGGTTTGTTATTGATCGATTCATACTTTTTATGGCGAACTGTATTTTTGGCAGTACTAAATAAGGTGTCCTAACAGAGCTGACTGAATTCAGAAATAATAAAGCATCTGTTTTCACTGGATCATTCTCTTTCAGAGTGCAGAGGTTTCCTAAGAGGCTGTGTGATTTTGTAGGCATTTTGGTAGAGCCACAGGAGTCCTGTTGATTGCAATTACTAGGTCACCAAGGGTAATACAAAGACTTTCAAAATGTTCATGGAAAATGAAATGAAAGCCTCAGCATTTTGGTGCTGCAGAAAGTCTTGGAATCCATGCAAACGAAGGGTCGCCATAAAGATTGTGGGAGTGTGTGTTATGAATAAGCTGCATAGAACAATTTTTTGGTACCCAAATTGACTTTTTTTAAAAGATTTATTTATTTATTTGAAAGTCAGGGTTATACAGAGAGAGGAGAGGCAGAGAGAGAGAGAAAGAGGTCTTCCATCCTATGGTTCACTCCCCAATCGGCCACAACGGCCAGAGCTGTGCTGATCCGAAGCCAGTAGCCAGGAGCTTCTTCTGGGTCTCCCACATGGGTGCAGGGGCCCAAGGACTTGGGCCATCTTTCACTGCTTTCCTAGGCCAAAGTAGAGAGCTGGATCGGGAGTGGAGCAGCCAAGTCTCGAACCGGCACCCATATGGGATGCTAGCACCTCAGGCCAGAGCATTAGTTAACCCTCTGTGCCACAGCACTAGCACCCCCCCCCCAATTGACTTTTAATTCCGTTTTCCCCTTTTGAAATACCCTCATGTTTGCTTTATTTTGAAGGCCAGCATTGGCGGAATTCCAGACAAAGTAGAATGATTTGCCTTATTAATTGCTTTTCTTGAGGAGGACCTAGGATTAGAGGTGTCTGACAACTTCACACTGACAAAGTAGATGCAAAGCTGGAATCTGGCCCAGATAGTTCTGCCATTAGGATGGCTTACTTGTTGGCTTTTTTGTTTATTAAAATGAATTATAATTGCTGTGTATTTTTTATTGTGAGCTAACAGACATCCATGACTTTTTCTTACTTGCACAATACCTTGCTTGTAGTATTGCTTTGTCTTTCAGAATTAAACTTTCATTCAGTAAATATTTTATACGCATCCACCATAGACCAGGCATTTTAATAAGGGCTGGGAATATAGCCATGAATAAAGAAAAAGTCTTGAATTCCTAACTATCTGAAAAAGACGCCTGTGGCTTCCCTGGAGCCTGTTTCTGAAGGTGAGTCTGGCCTTTGGAGCTTTGGGAGCTGGTGGCCGTGCCACACACAGGTCGTCACACACGTTGTCCCCATGCTGCCCTCCTCTCCTCCCTCACCTCCTCGCCCACCATTGTCCCATGACCGTGTGAATGTCCACTCTGTGCCGATCATGGTGTTAGGATTTGGACATTGAGAGTGCTAAGAACAGGCAGAAAATGAATGATTTAATACAGAATTGTAAAGTGCAAAAACATCTTGTGCTCGGTCCATTGTGGGGGCGCCCTCAGAGAAGTGGCACTGAGCAAGCCCTAAGCAGAAACTGAAGTTGAGTAGGAGTTAGCCTGGCTGCAGGGGCAGGTGGCTAGGGAGAGACGAATATTGAAGGTGGAAGTTAAGTGGCTACATTTAGACAAGTTTTGTTTTGTTTTTAAAGATTTTGTTATTTATTTGAGAGGTAGAATTAGACAGTGAGAGGGAGAGATAGATCTTTCATCTGCCCCAAATGGCTGCAATGGCTGGAGCTGGACCAATCTGAAGCCAGGAATCTAGAGCAGCTTCTGGGTCTCCCACATGGATGCAGGAACCCAAACACTTGGGCCATCTTCTACTGCCTTCCCAGGCCATTAGCAGGGGGCTGGATAGGAAGTGGAGAAGCTGGGACATGAACAGGTGTCCATATGGGATGCTGGTGCCACAGATGGAGACTTAGCCTACTGTACCACACCACCAGCCTCTAGGCAGGTTTTTATTTTATTTATTTATTTATTTGAAAGACCAAGTTACAGAGAGAGGTGGAGACACAGAGTGAGTTCTTCCATCCGCTGGTTCACTCCCCAAATGGCTGCAACAGCCAGAGCTGATCTGATCCGGAGTCAGGAGCCAGGAGTTTGTTCTGGGTGCAGGGGCCCAAAGACTTAGGCCATCTTATACTGCTTTCCGAGGCCATAGCGGAGAGTTGGATTGGAAGTGGAGCAGTTGGGACTCGAACCAGTGCCCATATGGAGTGCTGGTATTGTAGGCCAGGGCTTTAATCCGCTGTGCCACAGTGCTGGCCCCTAGACAGGTTTTTAATATCTTAAGAAGTTGTGGAAAGATTGAATGTGTTTTAGGACCAGGTTGATATTAGAGGATTGTTTTGGCAGGTGGCAGTGTGGGGAAGAATTTGGAGAGAACTAAGAGAAGGTAGATGAATTCTCATCTTTTCTGAGTTTGAGCAAAGAAGTGATGTTATCAGATTTACATTTCATAAAAGGCCTCTCTGGTTGCTGGGGGGAGATTAAGACAGTGGAGTGGGGGTTTGGCAAAGAATTGGAAGGCATATGGGGCAGTAATGATCATTTGACTGTCACCTCTGTTCTTATTGAAGTATGGTTGAAGGAGCTGCAGTTTTCATTTTTTTAAAAAAAATTATTTATTTGAAAGGCAGAGTTAGAGAGAGAGAGCGAGAGAGAGAGAGAGGTTTTCCATCCACTGCTTCATTACCCAAATGGCCGCAATGGATGGCTGGAGCTGGGCTGACCTGAAGCCAGGAGCTTCTTCTGGGTCTCCCATGTGGGTTCAGGGCCCAAGGATTGGGTCATCCTCCACTGCTTTTCCTGGCCATCACAGAGAGCCAGATTGGAAGTGGGGCAGCCAAGACTTGAACTGGTGCCCATATGGGATGCCGGCACCGCAGGTGGAGGCCCCACCCACTGTGCCACAGCGTAGGCCCCAGTTTTCAATTTTGATTTTCCTTTTTTTTAATGGTAATTTTATCAATGTATAAGATTCTTTTAGGCAAGTAAGGTATCTAAAAGGCAGGTAGAATAGTTTCACATTAGGTATTTTAAAAACTAATTTTCATACATATAGATGTGGCTTATGTGTTGCATTGGCAGTGAATTATAGTGTAACTGTGATAAAATTGTTGATAGGAATAGAAGGCTAACTTTGAGGTAAGTCATTAATTTTCAATACAAATAAGTTACAATTTGAGTAATTTCTCATGGTGAAGAATATTCTGTGTGTGCTGATACCTGTGCCTGAAAAATACACGTACATAGTTCCAAAAGGGGCAATTAATTTTGTATTCAGAGGTTAGATTAGGCCAGTTTCACTTTAGTTTTTGTCAGTTATTAAATAGTACTTTCAGGCACTGAAAAGAAAGAAAGAAGACTGCTATTCTCATTACATTTCTAATGACCAAAAAAAATCTGTATTTGTTGCTCCTGAGTATTTCTATATGATGGCCATTGCCTACTCTTTGTCTTTGACGATGTCCTTGACTGTGCACTGGCCTTCCATCCCTTGCCCTGGCATTTCCAGTGCCGTCTAGGTACCCATGGGGATATTTTTGATGACTTGATCTGATACTGACTTTTCTTTCTCCTGTTCATTTTATTTTTTTCTAGAAAATGCTTCGGATGCAGATTTATGGCTCCTGAACAGTTGTACTGTAAAAAACCCAGCTGAAGACCATTTTAGAAATTCAATTAAGTAAGTGGAAGTTGATTTTTCCCCTATTTCTGTTATCAATGTGACAGTCAGAAAAATTTACCTTTTAAAGTCTCCTAATGTCCATGCAAATATTTAGTGTGTTTCAAAAATTACGAGTTGGTCTTCTGAGATTATACTGTATTGAATTTATCTAATAAGGAGAGAGGTTTTAATGAGAACTTTTCTAACCGGTAGTTTCTTAGGATTCATTTCCTAGCTTTACTCTTGTTAGTTTTATTGTGAAGCATATTATATAAACTTGTATGCTTTCAGTATAATAAACTTAACAGCTTAATAATCACAACCCAGCACAAAAAATACAAATGCCATTGTCAAGACGATAACAGTGCCAAGTATCCCTCTTTGAATCGTGCTCCCCAAGAAGTAGGCTTCATTTTGTGAGTCATTTGTTACTATTTAAATATAAATATATATATATATATAAAAAAAGGGAAAAAACTCATGTATTTCATATGTGCAGTTTAAGAGCATAATGGTACTTTGCACCCTCCCCTCCCCTCCCTCCCTCCTTCCTTTCCTATTTTTTTTTTTTTTTTTGGCAGTGACTCACTTTCAGTTTAATTTATGGTCACGAGCTTAATCCTGCACTAAATAAAGAATTCAACAAGTCATAGGTAGAAAAACAACTGTTCCTCTGGAATATAGACAGGGAGTCATTCTGTTACTATTTTTAGAGGATTTATCTTCATTAAGTGCATCTCTAAACCATGTTGTTTAGTTTAGCCCTGTTTGGACTTTACGTATTGGGAATATACTGTGTGTTCTTCTGAGATTTGCTCTTTTCCTCAGCATCTATCCATTCCTACTATTTCATTGAATGTGCCCAATTTATTTATCCAGTTTCATATTGATAGAGTCTTCCTCAGTGTTTTCTTTCATGGAGTCTGCTGCCATACATATTTTAATTTATTTTCTAAAGCACTTAAGAATTATTCTAGGATATGTAACTAAGAGCTGAATATTGGGTCACAGGTATGTGTATGCTCAGACTTAAGCAGGCAATAACAATTTGTTTTCATAAATGTACCCGCTAGTGTTTGTTCCCACCAGTCATGGATGTGTGTATGTTGTTCCGTGTTCTTGTCAACACTTGATATGGTCAGACTTAATAATTTTTGCAGATTTTTTGGTGAAGATGATACTATGGTTTTAATTGCACTTCTGTGATCACTAATGAGACGGAACATCTTTTTATATGTCTCTTGGTCATTTGGAGTCTCCTTTTCTGTAATTGGCTTTTCAGGCCTTTTGTCTACTTTTCTTTTGAGTTTTTCCCTTTTATTATCTATTTGTGACAATATGTTGTATTCTTTTATCTGAAGACTTAAAATTTTCCTATTTATTTGAAAGGAAGAGAGATTTCCCACCTGCTTGTTCACCTCTCAAATGGCTACAACAGTTGGGGTTGGGTCAAGTGGAAGCTGGGAACTGGGGACTGGATCCAAGTTTCCCATGGGGGTAGCATGGACCTAACTACTTGAGCCCATCACCTGTGGCCACCCAGGGTGTGGACTAGCAGGAAGCTGGAATTGGGAGCAAAGGCAGGACTCAACCCTAGGCACTCTGACCTGGGATGCAGGTGTTCAAACTGGCGTCTTATTCACTGTGCTTAACACCTGCCCCTATATGTAGTTTTCACACTGATCCTTAGATATTACACATGATGCAGACATCTCCTCTCTGTTGTAGTTTAGCTTTCTGCTTTCTTTAATGGTATCTTTTAGGAGACAATTTATATTTTAAAATGTATCCTTTGCTTTTGGTCTATGTATTTATTGTTTAAGAAGTTTTTCCTTATTTTGAAGTTATTAAAGTATTTTCCTATGTTTTCTTCTAAAAGGTCTATGATATTACCTCTTAGATTTAGGTAAATAATCCATCTGGCATTATTATTATTATTTTGGTATTGTACCATGAAGTAGCTCAATTTCATTTTTTACCATGTAGATAACCATTTACTCCTGTATCTTTTTTTTTTTTTTTTTAAGAAGTCTATTTTAGGGGCCAGCGCCATAGCTCACTTGGATAATCCTCTGCCTGCAGTGCCAGCATCTCATATGGGCACCGGGTTCTAGTCCCAGTTGCTCCTCTTCCAGTCCAGTTTTCTGCTGTGGCCCAGGAGGGTAGTGGAGGATGGCCCAAGTGCTTGGGCCCCTGCACCTGCGTGGGAGACTGGGAAGAGGCTCCTGGCTTTGGCTTGGCATAGCTCTGACCATAGTGGCCATTTTGGGGAAGGAAGACCTTTGTCTCTGTCTCTCTCTCTCAATGTCTAACTATCTGTCAAAAAAAAAGTCATCCATCCTTTGTCTTTTTATCTGGGTATTGAATATCCTTAGATGTTTGGGTCAGTCCTTGAGTCCTCTGATTTGTTCCATTGATCCATTTCTTTATTCTTTGCTGTGGCGTAGTGTTCTGTTGGACATAGTCATTTGTAGTATATGTTTATGTTGTCTGGGTATTTGATATTGTGATTCCTTTTCTCTTTTTCTTTAAGAGTGTCTTGGGTCTTCTTTGCTCATTGCATTTCCATATGAATTTAACATTAGTTTGTAAGCTCAACAGAAATAACATGGTAGTTTTGATTGTGGTTACATTGGATTTTTAAATGACTTGGGGAAAATTGAATGTTTATAATTTTGAGTTTTCTAATCCGTGAATAAGGTGTTGTAGTCTACTCTGATATTTAAGGGTTTATAATTTTCTTCATTTAGCACTTGAGAATCTTTCAGCTGATTTTCCTAATATTTCCCAATAATTCAGCTGATTTTCCTAATAATAATAATAATATATAATAATCCTAATGTTTCCTAGTAATTCAGCTGATTTTCCTAATAATAATAATAATAATACTATATCCTTTCTCCATGCAATTAAAGTATTTATTTTTAAGCCAGTTAAAATGGTAAACTTGAAAAGTTTTCATTTTCTCTGTTTGTTTTCCTGGTCTCAGAGGGTTAATCACGTGGTTCGTGTGTAAGGAAGGGTGCAGATCAGGAGTCCCGCCAGACTCTGGTTACAGATGATGTCATCTAAATGGAGCAGTCAGAGTAGGAAGGGAGTGGCTGGCTTGAGAAGGAAACCGTCTTCACTCTTCCAAGGCTGTTGCAGATGACTCTGAGGTCTCTGGCTTTGCTAGTGAAACAGGAATTCCAGAAAGAGAGCTCGGATGGAGGGAAGACATGTTTGGGTTTGGGGTATATTGTATTCAGTCTCAGCTAACTCTTTGCAATCAGGCAGTGAATCTGCTTGACCTGTATTAATGTCTTCCATGTAGCAGTCACTGTTCTAAGTGCTGCATGTGAGCTGGATGCTATCTGGCTTACTTCTCATGGCCTCTCATTGAGTTGCAGATTCCATTTTTATTCCGGTTTCATGGGGGAAGCAGCATGTGATTTACAGATGAAATACTCTGAGGCTGTGCAGTGTATTAGTGGTAGAGTTGTCCCTGTTCTGTTTGATTGACAGATTATTTAAATAGAATGTCATGTATGATTAAGTAGATCTTAATGGCTTTGAAAATTTTTAATCATCACAAATTGTTCTTGTTAAGACTGTACTTAAACTAACACTGAAAAAAAAAAAACCCCAAAAAATAAAAAGGAAAGAGGAAAGAAAAAGAAAAGGGGCCTGCACAGCATGTTAAGCTTCCACTTGTGACTATGGCATCATCTGTTCGAGTGCTGTTGGAGTCCTGGCTGCCCTGCTTCCCATCTAAATCACTGCTTCCGCCAGGCTCAGACCCGGCTGTTGTGGCCATCTAGAGAGTGAACTAGCAGCTGAAAGATCTCCCTCTTTCTCTGAATCTCCCTATCAAACAAATGTATCCTTAAATCAGAACAAAATGAGGGACCGGTGCTGTAGCGTAGTGGGTAAAGCCGCTGCCTGCAGTACTGGCATCCCTTATGGGTGCCAATTCAAGACCCGGCTGCTCCACTTCTGATCCAGCTCTCTGCTATGGCCTGGGAAAGCACTAGAGAATGGCCCAAGTCCTTGGGCCCCTCCCTGCACCTGCATGGGAGACCTGGAAGAAGCTCTTGGCTCCTGGCTTCGGATCATTGCAGCTTCGACTGTTGCAGCCAACTGGGGAGTGAACCAGCGGATGGAAGACCTCTCTTTCTCTCTCTGCCTCTCCTTCTCTCTCTGTGTAACTCTGACTTTCAAGTAAATAAATGTTAAAAAAGAACAAAATGAAAAAGCTAGCACTTGATTGTTTCCAGTATAAACCCTGTAAAAGACACCATAACAGTGCACAGCCAGCAGACCTCCAGTTCCAGTGACACGCGTGCCTTTGGAGACTTGCGGTGATCGATGAATGACCTGCTTTTGTCGAGCATTGTGCTGTCTGGATGCCTTCTCTCTTGGCACCGTCTCCTATCAAAGCAAAGCGAAGCAGGGTAGTTCATAAACCGTGCGGTCTGCCAGGTTAAGCTGCACATTCGTCTCCCCTCATCCTCTGGCTCTATGCTTTCCCTTCGGACTCTTGCACGCGTTTAGTTTTCATTTTTCTCCCTTGGTCTGGGGTAAAATTTTACATTCAGGAAGAGACTGATGAGCTGTCGCTGTTTCTTCTTTATCGGGCCCCAGCCCTCATGCTCAAATTCAGACATCTACAACAGTGGAGGGGGGCCTGTTTTTTCTCCCCTGGGCTCCTCTCCATGGCAATTGCCTCGCGGTGCTGCTCAGGAGTGGCTGTTACCATCTCCGATCATCTGCTCTTCTTTCCCTTCCGATGGACTCGGGTACTTGAAAAAGTTGATGGAAAATGGAATTAAAAGAGTTTTATTTTGCTAAAAAAATAATTTGAAATGCATGCACACAAATGTTCTTGGTACTTAATATTTGTCTTTAATTACTTGTCACCTCACTTTGTGTCTCTTGAGCCACTAGGCAGAGCACCTCATTTTAACAAAAGTAATGAAAAATAACTCAGGGGTTGCTGTCCTTCCTGTGATTAATACAGTCTCATTGATTAAGATAGA